TTTAAAAAAACCTTTTTTTATTTCTTTTTGTGTTTGCTACTGCCTTTTTGTTCGTTGTTCAGTAAGTAACTTGTTGAAATACCCTGTGCTGAGAATTCTATATTGTACCAAAAAGATGATACTGAATAAAGCCATTAATAATAATAAGAAGAAGAAGAAAGTTCCAATCATTTGCGGAGATTAGTCGTCAAGTACCATTTTGAATAGGTCATACGCATGTCGTGAAAGGAAATGAATCTGAAAAATCAATTTATTTAAGTGTGATACAAGGTATTATGTCTTAATTATAAACCTCAGGTAATTAGGAATTACATATGTTTAGAAGGAAGAGAGAGGGAAGAAAAATAAAGGATGAACTAGACGTATCTTATTCTTAGTCTATAACTAAAATAGATTATCCCATGTTATACCTAAACAAATTAACTCAGATGAATTTTATCTTCACGACATATCCACATATATAACGGAAATTTTTATTTGATTATCCTCTGCAAGTAATTGTGACTTTCATAGTATCATTTTAAATTGTTATTGCACGAATGTTCACACTAATATCCGCTTTTACTCCGTATACTACTACATAAATCTACATGTATTCGTCCAAGTGCACTAAAAAGGTCTTTTTTAAACTGACAAAAGGTCGATATTCATTACACTGCTCACTTCTTTCCTCTCTCTCGTTTTTCCTTCTAAATAAATATTATTCTTAAGATTACGAAGTTTTTAATTATGACAATGACTTGTATTACACCTTAATTAATTTCTCAGACTCGTTTTATCTTCGATATGCATATATGACTCGTGCACATCAATATTTATTTACCCTTTGCACCTGCTTGAGACTCCCATAGCATCACTACAAACTATGACTGCACAAACACTTATTCTATCGTCGTATCTCACTGCAATAATAAGTTTTTTTCTTCATTATTTTTATTTTATTTTTGTTGCTAAGTTGGCGATATATACATAGTCGTTTATTCTCGTTTCGTGTTCAGAAACACGCTTAATAAACTACTTGCGCATTTCACGTTTCCTTTATTTCTATTCCCTTATTTTCTCCTTTTCCTTCTTTAAAGTCAATTTACTATTCTTTCCAATTACACAGAACTTGATTTATTATTATTCTATTACCACTAGTGACTGACTTCAAGAGAAACTCCTGGAGTTCTAGTGGGAAGGCGTGACCAGTGGAATTCAACCACGTCTGTCGTGAGATATCAGCTCATTGAAGACAATGGTGACGGTGGCGCAATTTTGTGGATTAGTCGAAGTTAGATATTAACTCCATTGGATGTCGGATCAGTGGTCTAATGATTAAGCGAACGCGCGTGAGACTGACGGGTCCTGGGTAGGAACCTTTCTTGGGGCGGGAAGGTGGATGCGCACGGCTGAGGTGGCCCACACTAGGACGAAACGGCCATCCAGTGCTTCCGGGTTTTCCATGGTGGTCTAGCTTCAATTGGGTAATGATTTCAACTTGTGATATTATCGTTATTATCTTTCTCCTCAAATATGGCAAATATAATGCTAACACTATTAAAACTTGTGGATTATTATATTTTTGAAGGAACTCGAAATGGTTCCTTCACAACACATGTGTACTCATAGTATGTTTGTGAATAATAATAAAAACATTTAATGTGCCGGGGAATCAATCAGGTTATTAATAACAGTTATTTTAATAAATATGAACATAGGTGGACTTCGGATATTTGGATGAAAAGAAAAAAACGAAATGTAGCAGACAACAAAGAACGAAATTTCAAAAGTTACACTTTGTTTTACAGTCAAACAGATAGACGTCGGACCATGTTCGTACAAAGCAATGGTAATTACATTGATATTTAATGAGTGACGCAAACCACTTTAAGAAAGAAATTCATCAAGGAAACTTCTGAATCGTACTATAGTTTCACTGCAACAGGGGTTCACTGAGAATTCTTCACACATAGAGAATAACTAAGACATTCTGGCGTACGTTTGTGTAGGTTCTGTGAATCAATAGAATATTTTCTTTATTGGATGGGTTATACGATAATACGATAGAACACAAGAAGGTGTATGGCAAAGAGTAAATAATACTGTTTATAAGGCGGTAGATGAAGATAAAGTTTGATTTAATATGCCTGGACCAGAGAAGGTTTTTCTGAATTGTTGACGTCTTTGGTGATAATTCTTGTTGTCAGAAAACAGTTTTAATGAACTTTCTTTGAACATCTTTAATTTTAATCAGGTCATTATGCTCACAATAACTGTAAACTAAGATATTAGATTCAGGAATATGTAAGACACATTTTTCGTGTAGTGATAATGTCAACTCAATGTCACTGAAGTTTATCATTATGAATCTAGTGAGCTTTGTAGCTTTCAATACTTAAGATGCAATGTGCTCAGCGAAATTCTAACTGTTGATGTATCTCAAACCCAAGTCACAAACAGTGTCGAGAGGATTCGGCATGCGTTTGTGTATAGCCTGATTTAAATTAGTGATGAGACTAGTGTGAATAAATCCACTTTCTTCAGCATTCAGTGACAGATTACATGAAATAGTCCGTTTGTATAATGTTATATCCTAGTAAAGATTAAATTACAGGTAACTTCCGAGGACTATTAATGGACTGATATTCTATAGATATTCTTATTGTATAATTATTCAATAATTATATTATGTATATTTATATTTCCCTTATTATAAGCTTCATTTTGATCTATAATTTATTATTATACGATTTTCTACCTCTAAATTATGCTCAGTTTATTAAATACTGCCTCCCATATTCACAGCCACTTTTTGGCTTTATTGCGTACAAATATTATTTTCTATTTTATGGTGCGTTGCGGTCTGTTTGTTTAATAAATAAACACAGTATGTTTGAAATATATGATTCGCTTAGTGGAAGCTGGTTTTGGTGTTCTGGACTCAGGTGGACGGACTAGGCGGTTACAGGACCAATAAGGACGCTAGACTGCTCAAACCGGTCGAACGTCATTGGTTTGGCACAGTGCGAAGATAGTATAAGCCGTATTTTGATTGAGGGGTAAATCACGTGATAAAAAGCCGGACATAAAGTCATAACATACAACTTATTTATGTTGTCTTTGATCACCGCTGAAATATAGTTCTCCTTGGTAAGAGATGAGAATGAATATACCACCTTTAGGTTATTCGAGAAATGGAAAGGTTTACCGTGTTGAAGGAGTGGGCACGCATCACTGATGAAAAAAATAAAAGTATTGGGATAATCACTCTTCCTTGTGTGTGTGAGACACTGTCGATGACCTTAATAAAATCGAAGTACAGAATTACCACTGACTGACAAACATCTCTTCTCTAAGTAATTTGATCGGAATGTTCAAGTGTGACATGGAGCATGACAGTTTATTCATAAACCGATGTTCAGATAAGCTAATCGGGCTTGCAGTAAGTAAGGATGATAATAGCTGTTTGTGGATGTTTTTCCTATGATTCTTGACAGCACGGCTGTCAAGTTAATTGGCCTATAGTTAGCAATATCGCAACACGATCCCGTTTTGATTCTAGTGGTGATAGGTGAAGTTTTTCATACGGATTTACGGGCTCCATAGTAGATAGATGGATCGAACAGTTTCTAACGAAACAATCAAAATTCTCCAATGCCTCATTCAACAAATGATGCAGGAATCCCTCCATGTCCATCGTTATAGGGCCTTTTTAGAGCAGTTACGGCCGCTTGATTTTTAGTGGATGTGAAATCAATTACGGGTAGATCATTGGATCTCAACACTGTAATCCTATTTACAGAGTTCTATCAAAGTCGTCTACGGTGATGACACCGAATATGAAGAATACGGCTTCTTCGGGAGATTTTAATTTCGTATGAAACTTGGAACTCTGAATTATTGATACGTCTGAGTTTTGCCACCCATGGCTTTATTCTCTATATACATAAGATACATGCGTTGAGATGACTGATTTTTCTTAGCTAAGTTAAGTGTGCCCCGAGGCGCATACACGTTATAGTTCTTGTACTTGCAGCCCTTCAATCGTTTTGGCTTTCTCTTAGAAGTTTTATAAGTGTTTGGCTCATACCAGCATTGCAAATCAAATGATTGATAAGTGGAGCAGTTCGGTCATGGCAATATGCAGCGTGTGGTATAAGTCGGGAAATGCGCTCTCAATGTTTGTCAGGCTTGTTGATTAGACTGTCTGACTCATAAAAGATTTATGATTGACATGCAGGATCGATGTTGATTATAGCTGTTAAATCAGGCATAGCGTTCCTCGTAGTCAGTTTTTAATGTTGTTGGGCCCATCCACAAAGGTCTATTGATCCAACAAACTTGTTATATCATTATGGTACAAAAGCCGAATTCCATATAATGTCCGACAGACTAAAATCTGATGGTCTTGAATATGTGCCATTGGTACAAAAGAATCAAAAATATGTTTGTTAACAATTTTTCAAAGTTATTAACCGTGTGTGGTGGTCCGTATATAAATCACACGAGTTGATGATATTGCGATCCACAATTAAACGTAACCCAAAAGGAGTCCACTTTAGCATCAAGATATTCATTCTCGAATTTAAACGCTTGAATGTTAGAACAGATGTAGATAATTGTGTGATCGAATATGGAAGATTTGTACCACCTTCGCGTGATAGGCACAATGCTAGTACTCAATGTAGCATTTGAGTCGAATTCGCCATAACATGTAGCATACTTTTTTGTCTTTGAAAAAAACTATGCTACACAGCAATCGAAATTTAAACGTAGTTATTTCCTTGGAAACCTTTGATTTCTCTCGTTACTGACACATCGTACACCCATGTTATTTTCTTATATGTTTCTGTTGGGTTGTATGAGAAGTCTAATGTACAACGGGTGTTCTAAAATTTCAGCTTGTGTATAATTTCAAACTCCTAATGGATGTATTTTGCTACTTCATATACCGAATATCAAAAACCTTATTTCAATGATGGTTTGTTAGTATGCCCTACCATGTATTTTTGAAAGAGAGCGGCCTTCTTAATGTTGTTTGCATTACAGACGGCGCGCTTCTTGAGCATACTCACATTCTCAATACTTTTCTGCACACGTGACATATATGTTGTTTACGATCAAAGGTCAAGCGTGGAGTGATGGAAAACTTTGTGTTGTACGATGAAATTGAAAAGACTAATGAGCAAGTGATTTATAAAGCCAGGCGAAAAGGGACCATTAAATATTTAGCTGTCGCTTGTACTGAAAAACACAAAAGGCCGGTTATATCTAACCATGTTAGGGTATCCCATGAGTTGAAACACAAAAATGTACTTCAGTTCTATGAATGGTATGAGACAAGCAATCATTTGTGGCTTGTGATGGAGTTGTGTACAGGTGGAAGCCTTGAGCAAGTAATTAAGGAAGATCGATTCCTAAGCGAAAATGTAGTTAGAAAGTTCGGAGCAGACATAGTTCGTGGTTTGCAATATGTCCATTCAAGGGGTGTAGTTTTCAACCGCCTGTTACCTTCTCGTGTAAGTTGAGATATTAATCGTAATAAATTTGCAGTTCTTGCTAGATGGCAACGGAACTGTCAAGTTATTTGACTTCTCTTTGGCACACGCAGAAGATGAAATCTTGGATGATCTTTTAGTTCAGTTTTGTGAGGAAGATGATTATAATCAGGGTGATTTTCTTCGCAGTCTTAGTGTGCATTCAGGATACGATTCACCCGAAACTATATCCCAGTATGAGAACTCAAAATCATCAGACTACTGGGGCCTTGGTTGTTTGTTCTATAACATGTTTTTCGGACACCCCCCATTTTCCGGTGAATCACAAGAAGAGGTATGTATATTTACGTAGATTGATTTTCATGCGACATTTAATTATATATTTAAGTTTTTAAACCATTCTTGTTTCAAAATATATATGTTTAACTTCATCTAAGTATTTGCTTCGACAACTATTCGGTAGTCTCTTTTCTGTTTGTTTACACACTACTCAGTATGTAATTTGACTGGGGAGAATTGATAATGAAATTTTATTCCAATTTGTCTATATCTCGCCTTGGATTTTCCCATAGTCTATTAGTTATGTAAGCCAACCGGTCAATGCTTTTATTCAGAACCAATCAAGTGGGACTTTTATATATTAAGTAATCCCAACCTTAAGTAACTGACGGAAATATTTGCCCTTATAGTAGTTTGTTGCATGCTGTTCGCCTAACTTGTCATTGTTTTAGTATTACTTATTGGCAGGATTCATGTCTGTCTACTATTCTTCTAGCCTAAATTTGTCATATGACGGTCGATATCATTATCTGATTCCCTCAAATGAAGGTCTAATCAGTTTATCGCCTAATATTCACAGGTTTTTTTTATGCATTTTTGAGTTTCTTAACAATCACTTTCCAATTATTTTGATTGGGTGATCTTTACTATTTAAGTTAGGGTTTTTGTGCATTAGGTTTCCGTTAATACCTTCTTTGATATCTACAGATTATTGCGTACATTTTTGTTAATTTCTAAGTCAATTCACTCAAATAAATGCTTTCAGCATGATCTTGAGTGTTTTGAATGCCTGTCGCCAATAATCATTAGCTAGCTTGACATAGAAAAAGATTTTTATGGAAGATATATGGATGATTTTTCAAGAACTATAAAGAACGAGAATATGTTAGGTGCTGATATTCATTGAGTGTTGTAGTCAAAAACAAGAAAAATTTGTACGTGAGTTATTTAGAGACGAATAAAGGGACTGAAAAATTGTATATGACTCTAAACTCCAACACTTGTAATGTGTAAGGAAATTTACTTTAAAGAGAAAGCAAAGGATTGAAAACAACAAGAAAACCGATGATAGTGAAAACCTAATATGAAGGGAAAGAACACAAACAAAGTGGATGAATAAAACGCATTTTTAAGGCTTCACTTTGGTTAATGACTTTTAACGGCGTTACCTATTACCTATAGACCAATTTTCCTTCACAGACCCCAGTGTAAAAGTTTTTATATCTCTTTGTGACTCATTCGTGTCCAGGGATTTAATTACTTGATGACATAAACTATGTTCAGTTTACTCCGTCTTGAATTACTTCATGATTCTAACGTAAGTGAATTTTCTGAACGCTTTCGCTCCTGCTCTAATTTTCCGATTTTTTTGAACAACATTCATCTTTTGTTGAATATTCCTAACACCCAACAGCAAGACGTCACTTCGCACCGTAATACGTTTTCCTTAATAACATCTGTGTCTTTGTCAATCAATTACGATAATTTAGCTCCAGCTGTATAATCAGTGGGTTGATTTTAATCAGTTAATGAGTAATGAAATAATAATCGCAGTATCACAACTATGTCTTAAGCTTGCTGCTAAACCCATTTTCGGTCGATGAGCTCGGAACTTTGAAATTTAAAATTTAGATCCATGAAATTAATTTCATACTGTAGACCAAATCAAATTTGAAGTGCCATAGGTAAATTGTGTGCATTAGTCTTTACCTTTATCGATTTCACACTAGTAAACTATAAGCGATTCTGTTCAGGGTGTTAACGTTAAAAGTAGTTCTGTTGAACTCTTTATAGCGGCTACTTTTTCAATTTCACTGAAGATAACACTTATCTTGAGTGAAGACATTGTGCTAATTCGTAAAGTCACAGGACTTCGGTTTGTTCGATTTTAAAAGCCAATAAAGCTCTGAAACCCACAAATTTCAATTAAACCGGTAATAATTCACTGCGATTACAAATGTTCGTATTTTCTCATTCTTCCAGTTCATAAAACCGATAAGTTCCAGGTTATTTTTTGACTTATCTTATTTAACCAGATATTTACAGAGCTTATTACATGATCTTTTGTTGATTATTTTTTAAATGTGTCCGCCATATTTGATCCGTAATTCTCAGGAAGTCTTTTTTTACTAGATAGACTGTAGATTGTGTGCTGGTTTTGCACACAGTTTGCTCTAAGATTTATGTTAGCTGTATCGGTTGAAGGAGAACTAGACCCCGATATCTTGTCAACAGTTGATCGGTAATTTATATCATTCAAAAAAGACTTGGTCATAGCATCAGTTTGCTCATAAATTATTACGCCTGTAAGTTAGCGGTAAAGACTTGAGTTAGTACCCTAAACACTCGATTGTCGGACACATTACGCTATTTATGAACGACACACCTCTTTAGTCTCTAGAAAAGACTTTTGCTCATAAAGGAAATATTTTTGTTTTGCAGCACTTTGTAACGAATCGCAACTTGGTTAAGGATTTGAACATTTTCACAGCATGACAATAGTGTCAGCAATACATTGCACTTTTTTATGAAATGAGTGTTAGGTTCAAATGGAATAAAAACACTGCTTCTGTTTAATAAGAACATACGTCACAGTGTCATTATTTGAGAAAGCGAATAGAAATTATATGGAATTTATTTGAAATTTTCGTTAAAGGTTACAGGCTACCTAAACCTGTAAGCTAAAATAAGTTGGACATGTATCGAAATGTTGTGTACATGCCTACTAAGCGGAATTTAATGTGTTATATAAAATGCACCACAGTGACTGAAAATAAACCTGGTTTGTTTGTGCAACTATTGGTTGGGAATATTGCTGTTGAAATGTTATAGTGATTACACCTTATCTGATGCAATTGGATTTCGACCACATAGTTTGATAGTGTAAATTTCATCAATAGTATTTTAGATATTATACAGGACTGTCTCACAGTTACAGTACATATTATCTTGCAGAGGTTTTGATGTTGTTGAGTTTTCCTAACTAGGTAGTTTACTTGCGAAAGTTTCATTGTCATTGTGGACAGTGTCAGCTCTTGCTTCATGTAAAAGTAAGCTTTCTATTTATTCCGTAAGTCTTAATTCGTGTTGTCCCGATGTCCTTGATTTCAATTGTTTACCCTTGTAGGTTTCATTGTCTTCAGCTGTCTTTGTGTTCAAGTTGACCGTTTTATTTCACTGATATTTGATAAGGTTGTTGCCTAAACTTTTCTCAACGAGTTGATAGATCTCGTCTAAATTGATGTGTCTGGTAATCGCTGGTTGATTTGAAGCCCATGCTTTCAGAAATTCCCTGGCATTTCCAGAGTTTCCTCAAGAATTTCAACGTTCTCCCAATCGAATTCATGTCCGCGCTTATTTACATGCGTTTATACCAGTGACAGCATAACGTGTCGTTTCACTGGTAGTTTGTGTATGCATGAGTAGATAGAGTGTCTAACTTACTCATTGCGATGTTTTTCACAGTATGTCTTGTAGATGTTATTGGATTGATTTTCTTTCGCTATTGTATCTTTTGATCCCCATAAAATAAATTGGAGTAATTGTGTTAGTTTATGAGTAAAATTGATTGTAAAGGGTTTTAAGATCTTCATGAGGATCTCTGAGATTTATCTTTCACTTATGTCAGGATTATCCTTCTCCTTGTTGCCAACGTTTGTTTTTTGGTAGTGAGTCTTGTCGCCAAACACTTTTTTATGAAGTTTCTAGGATAGCTATTTTTAAGGAAGACAAATTGATGAGTTTTTTTCATTCTTCGCATAGTGAGAAATGCTGCAGTGTGTTTTAGATTTTTTACAAAGATCTTAAATAGAATGTATCTTTTATTACTTATTATCAGCTACTTTCTAATCAATTTTTATTGTTTAATGAAACCTCTCAATAAGTAAAATCTACAGTGATTTTCTATTCTCATATCACGACAGATGGCTAAATTGTATTTTTCTCCAGATCGTAATGTATATGTAAAATGTTGTCTCGCGTACTTCTATTTAGGTTAATTGATATTCAACTTATTTTTTGATGGTTTTGATAATAGTGTGGTTTTTTCTCTTGTTCGATAATGAACGTCAGCCTATTTTATATTTCTATGTATGTGTCATCTCGTTTACAAGTTAACTCATTGAATGTTCTTACAATAATCTAATTTATTTTACAGGGTAAATCATTTCTTGGAAAGCAATTGTTGTTAGCATTTATTAGAAGAAAACTGTGATTGGATTCCTTACTTTTAATATTAGTAAATTGTTAGTTCATAAAATCTTTGGTTAGTCATGTGGTAAACTGATCGGTGTTAATACACCTAATAAGCTAAGATTATTGATTAGTTTGTATAAGCACTCATATATCAAGTTTAAACTAGTTTTATTCTTTTTTATGATAGTGAATAATTTATGGTTTAGATATAGAAGTGTTACTCACCTATAAGTGTAGCTATGCTGTGTTTAATTCAAAATACATCTGTCTTTAACCTTACAAGTTTGACACGTAATTGAACTTCTCACTGACCATGAGTTATGTGATTAACACTGTTGAATTTATACCTACATAACATTTTGTGTAATTCCCAGATTTTCGATTTGAAGTTACGTACGATTGTGAGTTGACGGTTTTGTTAAGATTTTAGAAATCCGTCTTGTAGGTGACTGATTACTTGTAAATGATCACTTCAAATTATTGTTGACTTTGAACTTGATGATGACTCGTATAATTATTGAGTACTTAAACACTAATTTAAAATGGACTCTGATGTAAATATGTTCGCTATTGGGATTTATTTATTTATGCATTGTTTTAATAGTCTACTATTTATTTACCTTAAAAATATTTGTTTATTATTAAATAATTCTAGCTGGATAAAAATATTTTAAATCGTGAACCGAATTACTCAAATCCTAATGTTAGCATTCCACCATCTCCAATTTTCAAGTCCCTTTTAACTTTACTTTTGACCAAATCTTCTTCTAAAAGAATAAGTGAAAATGATTTAATTAAACATCCATTTTGGCATCAAAGAATTTCTGTTACAGATTCCATTAATCTAGTTGAAGATAAGAATGGTTTGAATCAGGTAAAATGTAAAAAGTTTTATCAACTTTATATTCATTTAAAGATACTGTAACGTGTTTATGTGTATTTCATTTCGTACTAAATAAAGATTATCTTCCTTTTTCGTCATTCACTTTGAAAACAGACGGAATGTTTAGTAAACGGATTTTTAAGACTTGCAAATACTCGGCCTCTTTTATTTTAGAATTATCCTAATATCATGTGACAAAGGTCAGTTGAATTTAAAGCTAGATCAACTTCTAAGTCAATTTCAGATGTAAATTATTGATAGTAATATAATGTATGGTACGTATATGCAACTAAAGAACTGAAGTTTAAAGGGAATTCCTTGCATTTCCCCAAGTTTGTAACGAAAATACAGAATTTTATGCAAAATACCTGCTTTATTCTAAACACAGCCAACACCTTTTGTTGTTCATCACACATCAGATACTTTAATTAAGATATGTGACCAGTGTTGTATTTGCCAGAGAATTTGACTTTCGGTCATTCAGTTAAAGGCTTGGACCCCATCCGAATAGTATCATTAGCTTACATCCACAAATGTGTAGTTCGCAAATGAATACACAAACGTTTACCTTGTAAATAAGTTACATTATCATAAACACTAACCGAAATATTTGAAATAAGATATTTAATGGTCCGATGATTTTAGTAAATCGAAGTTTTATTACATTTAATTCTCGAGTTTGGATTTCTTAGTTTCAATAAGGTATGAAACTTGTTTTAGCGCCCTGTCGTTATTGATTCATATCAATTGATAGACTGAGGTAAACTAACAATACATCGCATGGAAAACGCCGACACGACTCATCATGTAAAACTATGGAAAATTCGACGAGGTAACTACTTGTAAATTCATACCAAACTTAATAGTAATAAGTCTGTGATCGTCTCTATGATATTTTATAGCTAACATCAATATCCTTTGTATCGGATTACAATATTTTTGGATTTTGTGTCATTGCAGTTGCTTTTTATCTTTCATTAAGGTTTTGTGCATTGTTGACACATTAGGTTTAAAACAAAAGTATCTCTGTCTCCGAATTAAGTTCCCTTCATTATTGACATGTCTGCCAGCCTACAAACTAACCAAGAATCAAAACACCACTGCATGTAAGAAGTTTCACTAATAGATATACTAGACTTTAAGAAATGTCAATTTTAGAAGACCATCACTAGTATTCTGTTCCATAGTTCAAAGTTTCTAGAACAGAATTCAAAGTTGGGTTTCTAGACCACTGAATAAATGTTTCTCAGTATTTCAAAATACTTGAAGTATTAAATTCTATGTACAAATAGGTTGTTTGAACTCAATTTCAAAACTATTCTCTGCAGTAATATAAATTTTAGACCTCATTTAATCATATATTATATCTCAATTCGTACAATACATTATGCAGAAGACATTTATTACTGTTTTATATATGAAACGAGTTAAGTGATTATAAAACTTATCAGGCAACATTCAATTCTAAAAGTTTATATATATTATTGACAAGTAATAGGGTTAAGAAGCCTAATAATGATCTTTAGGTCTCCTACATCACTTATTACATGTTCTCACAAGTTACAGGATAGACAAACAGCTAACACCAGTATCCGAACTAAATCTTAACACTAATTCGAAGTTGAATACAACTTACCGTCATAGCCTTTTATGTAGTAATAAACAAACTACAAACAATACCATTTATAAATAAAAAGGATAATTGTAACGTAAGAAAATGTCGCTTCATAAGTAGAACCATTCTGAAATTGGGGGAAATCTCTACAAACCATCTAAATAAATAGTAGTATTGACGAACAACTTCAAAGTAAATTTTAAAAGGTTTTGGTAAGAATTCACAACTTCAATTTTAATATGAATAATTACTTCTTTATTAGGGATATATATGTTTGGAAAAATGTTCTCCTTAATACAAGTCTAACTATTCTTCTGAAATGTAAACGTTATGCAACATACCTTTAATATTCATTTCTGTGGAAGAAATGAGAGATATTTTTCTTACTATTTTTTTTTACTATGTTTAAAGTGTTTCTGTTCGTATTCCGGACAACAAAGTATTGTAAACAAGTTAACTGATTATTACAGTGTTTGTATAAATATTCATACATACTAGTTCCTATGACAAAAAGAAGATTATGTCTAGGTAATCCTGTGAGAAAGCACATTTCCAACAAAGGTCGATCAGAATGCCAGTTCTGAATGATCAACAGCTGGATAAAAACGAACCATTATAAATAAACAAGGAAGTTATTGATCATCTTTTTTTTCTCTTCTTCTTATGCTAGGCTTCTGTAGATAAAAAGCAAATTGAATCAGAATGTTATTTGAACGGTAAGACAAATTCAACAACTATTACATCTTTTCCATCAAAGAACAGTGAAGATACACCAAAATTATCTCATTACAATGAAAAGTCAATGAATACAGCAGAAGGAAATGAAAAGCCAGAATCGTTTGACTCAGCTATTTCCAATTCTGATGCTTCACTGTCTTCAATGGCACCAGTAAGTGATAATGAACACACTATTAGTGTGGTTACAATTCCTACACATAATAACACCGATGGTAATCACCACCATCTCGATCAACAACATTCTATTACTACTGATACTATTGTTACTACTACTATTACTACTACTGATACTACTACTACTACTACTACTACTACTGTTACTACTACTATTACTACTCCTAGTAATAATGACAATAATAATAAATTAGATTTACTATGTCAAAAGTTAAATGATCATTTTATAACTTCAAATGACCAATCTGTTGTGAATAATTCAAATAATTTGGATAAATCTAAAATGAAGAAAAACTCATTTTCTTCTAACGATAGAATGGTTCAAAGTGAATATCATACATCCACGTCAAATTTGTCTCAAAGTAAGTTTTAGTAATGTTGCTTTATCATTATAACCCTACATTTGTATTATTTGTAACACACCATGAAATTTGCTCAATAAGTTTCTATTGCACTGGACAGTTGGTTGGTGGTCTGTATCACCTGTTTATAGGACATCTGACGTGTATGCCAATAGTATGAAAGCTTCACGATTATTCTACTCAGAATAAGCAACTCGACTTCGTCAAGATATAATATTTGTAGTTAGTTTAGTAAGAGAAGTTTTGTATTTAGGCTACTGTTCTATGAAGTAGGTTAGCTATTGATAAAAATTATCTTTAGGAAAAAGTCAAATAGGCAACATAAACGTTAGTTTACTAAAGTGTAATATATATGGTTTACGAAATTAAAATTTCTAGATTGAATGTATAGATGTGAAAAGCTGCTTCATATTATAATATCTACGTTTACTTACATGTTTCATTGTTGGCGCAGTAACATTTTTGACATAAAATCACTAAACTATCCAATAATTTAGTGAGGGTTTGCTGATGATATTCAGGATTGTAGTTGATCAGTCTCTTCTATCGTATGTACATCTGGAGTGGATTACGTTGATACAATATTTGGTATTGGGGATAATTTTCAATGTGAGCGTTAACAGTTATTTATCTGATGGGTCCTAAATAATACAAAATGTGCGTTATGCAATGCACTGCAAGCCACATACCAAACGTACTAAAACTTTTCCAATCACTTTAAATTTTTTGAAATTATATTATGACTTGCATCTATTTTCTAAACTTTATGGTTTTAGTACAAAAAGATAATTATTCCTTATGTATTTTTATAAAAGTATGCGACTTGTTAATCATTTAGTAACAGACTTCATACAATTTCATCAGTATTTTAAGTTGTTGGTATTTAAAACGTCCATTTATTATTAATCTAAATGGGTATAACTAAACGATCATGGTCAGAAAATAAGTTCAGATTGCATACTTCAAATAATCTTAACGCCTTTTCTAAAACTTATCGTCAGTACCATTTTAGTTGGCTAATATGTTTTTGTATTCAGAATACTAAAGACTTTGGGGGTATCACGTAATATATTCAGCCGTAGAATACGATTATGTATGAGACTCCAGTCATGAAGTTTGCACCTACTGATACAGCTTAGTCTAATAGTTGAGGGCTTCTCCCATAGCTTTCCTCCAGTCTATTCTTGTTCTAGCCAGTTCTGTTGATTAAACGTTACGGTGTCTAGGAATTAGTAATATGTGTTCGAAACACCCTAGCCTATGAATCTTCATAGCTTAATCAGTCGAATTACTGTTTCGCCTAATTCCAGATTCACTCAAAGGCCCCATTGCATCCGAGGAAACTAATAATAAAGTGCTTCTGCGTTTACATGCCGTGTTTTCACCTATAGAGGAATATAGAGTTGGCTGATGCACAGCATATTCACGCTTTAATAGGTATGTATATTACATGTGGCTTATGGGTTCTTTCTACGGCTTCATCAAACAAACATTGAACAGTCTGAGTTTTAAAATTCATATCAGTTATTATTGAGGGTACGTTTCAAGTCCTTAGATTTTAATATCATTTTAACTATACAGTATTATTTTATTATACACATCAAAAATTCTTATTATAAAGCGAATTGATCTGGTTGCTACATATAATTTTCGAATGATTTCAACCCGATCTTATATATAAACATAAATGCTCTGCAACGGTTCATATTCATTGCGCTCCTTGATCAAAAATTGGGAAATTGTTTTAGTGTTACTTAGCTTAGAATCATTTAAGTACCATACTTTGTATAATCCAAGTATTCAGTTTATAAAATGGCACTTCTGAAAGTACAATATATTCGAAATGTTTTTTCCATCTCTTTAATTATTATAATTATAATTATTACTATTATTATTATTATTATTATTATTATTATTATTATTATTATTATTATTATTATTATTATTATTATTATTAGCGCAAGAAGAAATCTCCAAAAATATTTTCAATTTAACTAGACATACTTCATTTGTGAATAATGACGAAAAGAATTACACAATTGATTTAGATTCAGTGGAAATGTCAACTTGTAAATCACTTCATTTAAGAGCAAATCTTGCTCTCATTTATCCATGGGGTGATGATTCTATCAGCTTTCCTCGAGAAACAAAATCAGTCGCTGAACTATGGAGTTTATTCACTAACAATAATAATAATAGTCCTATTATTAGTGATTCAGATCAAAAGAAAATCGTTAATGGACATGTTTTAAATTCACATTTTCAAAATATATGGAAACCTAAACCATTAAGTGACTATTTACGTTGGGGTCGTGTTATGCCACCTACGAAAATTGAAGGGCTGACACGATTATATAATCCAATGTCATTGAATACTATATCGTTAGAAGAACTTGAACAACATATATGCGAGGTAAGCTTTGTATGAATATTTTGTTTTGATGATACATAATTATCCAATAAATTACAATGTTTCTCGATTTTCCCTTAATAAAAATGCATTTCTACATTCTTTGATGAGAAATTCATGGCTTTCTGTCAACAAATTCACTGTTTTATAAATTTGAAGGAATTTCGATGAATTTTACTGACCATAATTGAAAAGAAAGAATTACAGTCCAAACATAACTTATAACAAAAATTAGGTTAAGGTGAAATGAAACATCAATCCATGTACCAGGTAATATCGATGATTGTATTTTTTAAAACTTTGTTTTACACTTCATACACATACATCTATCCTTTAAATACAATAGTAGTAACTAAAGTCTCTTGTGGGGGGCTGGCTTAGTAGTTAAGCCGTTCAACTTTTAACCAGTATGGTGCAAGTTTTAGCCATGTTATCCCACATATTTTCGTCTAAATAGTAGGGATTTTGTCATCAGCTTCCAAACTTGAAGTGTGACACTATAAAGAATATCTAATCTCGTACTTGACAAATGAATTACGTCATATTACTGATAGATATTGTGTTCTGTGTTTATTAGACAATATTTAGCGTATGTTTACTTTCATATTTTATAGTACTATATTTCTTTCTTTATCGTTGATTATGTGTTTTGACTTTTTTATATAATTTTAATTATTCATCTCGATTTCTAGTAATTAAGGTGATAAAAGCGAGTTGGAAGGCGTTTTTCGGTAGATAAATTCTAGTTAAGTCATTTAGAAAATTGGTGATTTGTGATTTTCGAAGTTTTCAGCCATAGAGTTCGACAAATGTTTTAGTCAAACAGTCCTCTAATGTTCACTTATTTCAATTAACAGTCTTCTTATTTCAACTCACGAATTACTTGATTACTCATAAATATTCAATGCCACGTTGTTTATCCCTCAGTGTTGGCCTAATTCTATTGATAAAAGCTCAATGAGGTCATTTGGTTAATTAGATTGACATAACAATCCACTTTCTTCCGTAGAAAGTAGTTGAAACTAATTATTTTAGTGAACATTTCAGGACTATAGTAAGTTATTTTTTAACAGAATAGCTCAATGTTGATGTCTCAGACTCATCGGATAACGCAGATCAAAATCCGACCAGAAAAACCAATCCGTTGAAGATTGCAGATGCAACCAAATGATCAGTCTTAATTAGCTTGATACTTGAATCCAAGTCTTACCAATTTCCTTTAATCATTTAACAATAATCAACTTAAGTTTGGTTTATCTGACTCGGTTAATTGAGGGTATTGTTCATATAACGTCCCGATATTATTGTAATTTTCAAGACTGCTTTAATTCAGTTACTTTTGTTTTTAATAGTCATATGTCACATTCTACAAATAAATATACTTACTTACTTACGCCTGTTACTCCCAATGGAGCATAGGTCGCCGACCAGCATTCTCCAACCCACTCTATCCTGGGCCTTTTATAGTTCTATCCAATTCTTGTTCATTTTTCTCATGTCTATCTCGATTTCCCGGCGTAATGTGCTGCTCAAATATGTAAAGGTTTTTACATTTTAGTGGCCCGTGGATCTGACTCCAATTAGATCGTATGAATGTTTGTTGTTGAAATATATGTATCACCTATCCTCGTATATAATCATCGACTTAAATCGCGTTAGTCAATAACGGAATTAAATGAGTCGAATAACGAGATGGACTTGTGAATACATATATTTTGTATTATAAAGCGAATGGAATAGAGAGAAGAGAAAGGACGCAGAGTGGAGATGGCAGGTAAGCCATTTCCCCTTTTAACCAAGCGTTAACCAATACTTATAGTAACACAAAAGTAAGTTACAGAAATTTGATGAGTAATGGGATAAGAAATGTACACACACCTACGCGCTCATATAAAGTCATGATTGATAAGCGAATAATTAACAAGGTCAAAATGTGACTCAAGTAGAATGAATAGAACGGGCTGTTCGAAAGCTAAAATGAGGTATATGGGCGTAACATAACCGACACTACAACATCCTCCAAATCTCCTTCAATTGTGACTGGGTTGGTGTATGCTGTGATGTATCGGGAACTCCACCTGTAGCTCTTCTAGAGTTACTGCCGGTCCCAAGCCCGGGTAAAACAGGAGTGTTGGGCACGGTGTTAGTGACCCCATCCCGTAGAAAACAAAATCGCTAACCAGAAAAAATAATTCCAACCATTTAAACTCTGCCCTGGGAGTTAGAAGGTCTTCATTTAGGAGAATTATGACGCTTCATGGTGAAAGCCGAGTTCCTTCGGAAGCTACGAGGTCGATCCAATAATCAGCAAAAATACAACTACTCAGACAAACCAGATGACAAATGTTTTTAAACTCTTCAACCGTTCTAGTCAGAATCAATATTCGAATTACACTGTATTTTATAAGTATTTTCATTTTAATCGTTTGTCTACAGTAAGCCATTCAAACAAGTAAATGCTGTATCATACCCAATCAACAAATGATACAATCTACATGAATAATCTTTTTACAAAATCTAAATAAAGGGAAACATACATTAAAGCATTAAAATATTTACTACAAAAATACTTACTTACTAGAAACTAATAATCATTAAAATGTTTAAACAGAATGCCGATTAAAACTTCAATAGCAGTAAAAGTAAATAAATCAAACAGATAATTTTTTTTAAAAGATTAGATATCCATGAAAAACTGGATGCTTTGTAGATTGTTGGTATGTCAAGTTAGGCGGTCAATAATTAATAGCCTAATCTTCATATCTTGATGTTACTTCTATCGTTCATAGACATACATATACTGAGTGATTGTTTTAAAGAAAAATTCGACTTGGCAATATGCCATACAAAATAATTTTTAAAAATTAATATTGGTCATTTCAGGCGGAATATTTTAATTTCAAAACCTAAGTTGACAAATTGATCAATTAGAGTTTAGATTATGAAAAGATATCAATGATCGTGTCAACAATACAACTTCTTTCGTAGAACAGCTATTGATTCGTAGAAGACTGAAATGGAATTTCATAATTAAATAACCTGTAGTCGAAAAGATTGAAGACAAGAGATATTTTCGTTATTACAACCAAAGTGCAATTCGCCACAAGAAGACAATAGTATCAACAATAATAATAGTAATAACGTGATGACGATAACTGGATATTTGAGATGTTGCAAACACCTTTGATTAAAAATAAAGGAAGAATACAAACGAAAGGTGTCGATGCCTTTGTGAAGAATTCTATTCAGTTGATATGACGCATCAATTTATTCTGAATTTCAACCAACGTAACAGGTGTGAAATTTGTTTAGTGAAACCTTTTAAGGTCAATATTTTGTATCAGTTCAGTATAAACTTCGTTTATTATAAATTTAATATAACTTTCGGTCAGTATGAGAATTATATTCCCTGAACCACTTCATGAGAACAGCATTCAGAGTGCATTTTTACAGTAACCTTATGTTCTATTATAAAGTGTGTGTAAAGTTCAGTACATAAATGATTGTATCTCGATCTAACGACGACGTGATTTTGGACATGGCTTTGGGGAGTCAAAAAACCTTGATTGCACTGGTCTTTCATGTTATCATCCGTGTTGTGGGAACTGTAGTGGTTCACGTTTCCAAAGGAACCAGTAGGACAGATTAATCGCAGTAGTGCCTTATTGTCAAGTAACATTAGTAGAACTGCAGACACAGCCAAATCGATACGTACATAAAACTGACGACTCCACATATATAACAGCCAGCGATCCCAATACAGCAGTGGCGACGTGTAATGGATATAACACAGTCAAACACCCAGTCACAAAAGTGTCAATGAACTGGATTGTCCATTTCCTTTATGACAACCATTGTATTTCCGAACTCCGCCTGTAGCTCTTCTCGAGTTACCGCCGGTCCCAAGCCCGGGTAAAGGAGGAGTGTTGGGCATGGTGTCGGCAGCCCCATCCCGTGGAAAATATCTTGTATAAAAACGCCAAACAGAACAAACAATTCAAATCATTTAAACTTTGCCTTTCGAGTTGAAAGAAGAATTATGACACTTCATGGTGAAAGCCGAGTTCCTTCGGAAGTCACGTGGGTTGATGAGCCTTCTAACAACCAGAGAAACAATTTTTCTGGGTAAATAGAACGTCCGAACAATGTGGGAGACCGGGAAGACCAGTCAAATAGCAACGGAAATGACGAGATATAACTTGACAGTACTCGGAATCAGCGAAACCCATTGGACTCAAGCTGGATAACAAAGGCTAAATACCGGAGAGATACTGCTTTACTCCGGTCACGAAGAGGAAAATGCTCCACACACTCAGGGAGTTGTTCTAATACTGTTCAAAGTAGCACGAAATACACTTGTAGGATGGGAATCTCACACATCCAGAATCATCAAAGCATCATTCGAAACAAAGAAGGAGGGAATCACGATGAATATTATCCAATGTTATGCACCCACCAATGATAGCAACGACGACATTAAAGACCAATTCTACGAGCGGCTGCATTCAATCATAAAGAAGTGCCCAAGAAACGACTTCACCATTCTGATGGGAGATCTAAATGCCAAAGTCAGAATGTACAACACCTCATATGAGAATATCATGGGACGACATGGACTGGGAGAGAGAAACGAGAATGACGAGGGATTTGAAAATCGATGTGCATTCAACAAACTGGTTATTAGTGGCACAATATTTCCACACAAACATATACACAAAGCTACAAGGGTCTCACCGGACCACACTACAGGGAACCAGATAGATCATATTCGCATCAATAAAAATTCAGAAAGACAATAGAAGACGTGATAACCAGGAGAGGAGCTGACATAGCTTCAAATCACCACCTAGTTGTGGCCAATTTAACACTGAAGCTAAAGAAGAACTGGACAACTGGACAAACAGCACCACAAAGGTTCAATACAGCCTCCCTTCGAGATACTGACAAGCTCAATGAATTCAAGATAACTCTCAACAACAGGTTCCAAGCCTTACAGGATCTAC